TTTATACAGTAATGACCTGAAATTATTTAAATGAGCCATTACTGTTATAACAGAGTGGCCAGGTTGACAAAGCTAAAATCTGATGAACCTAACCTGCTAGGATATTTCAATAGTCAAACATCAGTTTCAGCACTCCAGCTGGTCAGGGATTTTTTAGGGAAAAGTTTTAGCACCCCATTGTAAAACCTGCCTCTGAATCTCAAAATTTCATTATTTTGTTCCCTTGCCCCTACAATCTTTATTTATACCTTTTGTGCCCTTGAGATCTTTAAAAAAATTGCCTAACTCTGCAGTATGGCATGTAACCATGTTGCCATATTTATTTTCTGACTTCAGGCTTCAATAAATTTCTACTCTAATACCTGACAGAGATGGGGGCCATATGTATGAACAATAAGAAATGATTTCTTCATCTATTATTGGCCCCTTACCTTTCACCCAATTTTAAAATTAAATTTACTGAATGATTTTGAAGTTTTCTAGATTATTGAAAAGAATTTTATGGGTACAAGAAATAGGGCGAAAACAGTTGAATTAAGCAAGATGCAAGTAACAATGAACCAGACCGGGTCACTGGATGGTATTTCAGCACACTGGTGGACATGCAACCTAATACCTGCAACCTGTGTTACATTTATATATATATAGTTTTACACTGTACTGGAAAAATAATGTGAAGGAACTTGTAGAGATTCAGAATGCACACTCCATGGTTTATTCAATCACCAGCATGCATGAATCATTTTATGTTATGAATATTTTTTTAAAATTATTCTCACTTAAGATAAAATTATATCAATTTTTAATATCATAAATGAATATATAGTAGCTTTTGATTAAACAAGTTATAATAATATATCAGCAAATGATGACTGGTCTCTCTGAAATCCATATAGAAAGGTTCAAATTTGACTTCCACTACCACTACTTGATCTGGCAGTTGCATACGATTGTTTGATTGGATAAATGAAACTTATCTGGTTAGAACTTTAATGATAGCAATAGCAGCAGTGGAAGTCAAATCTGATCTCTCTATTATTTTTTGAAGATTTGCTCTAGTCACGTCAATTCAGGGTTGCCCATGCAACTTGGTTAGCACAGCTAGCTCTTAAAGTTGGCGGTCCAATTCTTAGGATTCTGCAAATTAATTCTAGAAAACTGGCTTTGGTTTGGGCTAAGCAAAAATCATCACACTGTTTATCATGCTGATTTAGTTGTTTAACAGTTAAAGTCCAGGCTGCATGTTTTTTGTCCTGCATGTGGCAAATGGGACAGCTGGTTTCCAAGTGTTTATGTTGGGAATTAATATTAATCAGGACTGGCTTCTGAGTGAAGGTCTTGCCTGCTTTATGTGAGAGCAGGCTCCATGCGAGATTCCAATTGCTACACAGCATGATCTCAGGGCTCTTCCTCTGAAACAATGCTTGGTTGCAATATCATCCAGCAAGTGCAAAAATGTACTACCACGGTCAAGGATCATTTGGCATGTTCATCGACTATGTTAACCCATTGAGTGGCGCCATGCACTCTCCACCTGATGAGTAAAATTGTCTGATGTTAGACAGAGTAAACTAACAAAGTAGGGCGCATCTGGGTGCTTTGGGCCATTCCATTTAATGTACACACCACCTATGGACGATGTACACCCCCCCCCCCAAGAAAAAATATCAAGGTGACGACACCAACACCCCCAGAAATTAAGAAATTTTTGCCTTATCCCTCAGAAAAAAATGCAAAGATCAAAGGTTACGGATGCACACAACCCCTAGAAATGGCTTTTTCAACCCCCTCAGAAATTCTAGTCCATGGGAGGAGGGGGTGTATATTAAATGGATGGGCCATTGCCACTTAAAGGGTTAAAAACGTAAATACCACAGCACAACACTTGTACATATACATATACAAGTAATACAACAGCAATCCTTTTATATATTTAATAGTCATATTTACATATTGGTGAAATATCAATGTCCATATATTAGGGATGTCCATGAACTTGTCCCTAGTTTGAAGCTAATGTATTCATATATTTTGTATAAGTTGTCCCTCTACAAACCAACTTTTAGTCATTATACAAGAGTTGAATTTGCATTCATTTGCTTCGCAAGTCGCAACAAACTGAACAAAGTACTAAACCATAAACCTGTGCAATGATCGAGCGTCTTTAGCGACATATCCAAGTCTTTTAAACGTCTCATTGGAACAAATCTCACTGAGTTTTTTCTACAGAAAGTATTGATGCATTTGATCGATCGCCGTACTTTGAGAAAAGCTTGAAATGCAAAATTTACAGGAAAGATTGAAGAATTTCGGAGATAAAAACTGTTTGTCTTCGAGTTTCACCTATTCACCCCCCGGTTGAGAAAAGTAACAATTACGTAATGTTGGAGTCACGTGACCAGCGTTTACCAGGGCTACGTCGCCGCCTTCAATTCGCGACTAGCCCTGGGTACAAGGTTGGATCAAAATTAGTAACAAATTCATAACGCTCCAATTCGACACGGAAACATGATGCTGTGCCAAGACAGTAATCTACGTACCTATCAAATTAATCAGGTACGGGATCACATTGTTCGAAAAGATCTGCTTATCCACAGAACAACTAATAAGTTAGTTACCATTTTAGTTACTATGCTTACACCACTTACCTGTTGGTAATGCTCACCATCGAAGGAAAAATTGTTGGGAGTGAGAACTAATTCAGCCAATTGGGTTAAAACGGTTGTGGACGGTTCCTGTTTAGCGGTTCACGTTAAGTGCACATGCTATAGGGTGGTATATTCCTAATCAATGGTGATATGAGTTCAGTGGAACAACCACAGGCAGAAACAATGGGGTTATAACTGAATTGTCAGATTTGTGGATTTTGGGCAAGAATCACATGACAGGTGTGTGAGGTGTGGTGGATATGATGTTTCTGGCAGAGTGGCAGTCTCAGGGAAATTACTTTTAGCGAAGCTTCAAATAGTTTTAGAAATGGTGGTTTGATTAGTGGAGGTGAAATCCTTGTCACCCCTACTGTAAGAAACAGTGTTACTTAAATGGCGGTGGGTTTTCATAAGTCAGCCCTCCACAATTCAGCCCTCCAAACTACCAGACACCAACCAAGTCAGCAGGTTTGATAACAATGCCATCGCGGGAACAATGAGACTGATGGGCACTAAATTCAGTATTTAAAAAATGCATGCATGCACTAGAACTAAATTCAGCATACGCATGTAGTTTTCCTATTCATGCTATACCCGGGCCGTAACTTAGGTATTACGGCTGGGAAGTGCGATCTTGTTTTGCCCAAACAAAAGGGCGTGGGGAAGTCGTACCCGCAGGACATTTTAGGCCCAAATTAATATTTCTTTTCCCAAAATTGTTGCGAAAAAATTTTTCCCACAAGTATAATTTTAAAAAAAAATTGTGTAAATGTTTTTGTTGAATCACATATTTTTTTGCCCGACAAGCGTGTTGTTAAAATTGCGTTTAATTGCCCTGCAAAACTGCAATATTACAACATTGGGGCGTGTCGCATCCCCCCCCCCCCACACGCACCACAGAAATTACGCCCTACATGCTACTAACCTCCCAACGAGGGGCATCCGCTTGAGGCGTTGATGTTTTACTTGTATTCTTGCAGTAGTTGAATCTCTATCAATCCGAAGCTTTATAGTATGAAATGAACGCTGACAAAGCTAGGATTAGAGCTCAGTAGGAAAATAGTGCTGAGTGTCGTATACCATTGTTACACTGTCTATACAGGCACGAATTGATAATGCTGTATAAATTAGTTATCTGTTGACTGTGTATCAGTGGTGTAGAGGATATATAACTCAGTACGTGCACGATTGGCCGAGCACATGGATACAAAAATCCTCTATACTTTTTTATATAAGGCCGTATAGTTTGTCTATCCACGTTTACTGAAAATTATCAAACGAGACTCTGTCTTTTAACAGAATATATTGTAACAATTTTAACTGTATATGTGTGCACGTCGTTTAAAACTTGTATTAGGGATAGAATGTATTGTCCATTTTCATAATATTTATAGATTAACTTCTAACATGCATTAACAATATTAAAGAGACAATAAATTTTGATGTTAAAGAAAATAAAGCGTTCAACTACCGGCCAAGAATTTCAAAAATATAAGACGAAATAAAATCCGAAAACACTTCTTGTGGAATTCAACATATCAATGAATACAACACCTCGGAAAAAAAACCTTGTGAAAATTTCAAAATATTGATAATGGCTTTCGGATTGTAATTCGTCTTGTGAAAAAGGAAGGATATACCTACAATTGTTGGAGAGGCGTCAAAATATCAGTGTTGCGAGATGAGTGAAGGCAGAACTGAGATAATATTTTACTTTTGAAACACTAAAGTTTTGGTTGAACGTTGTTGGCACATTTTTTGAAGATGGCAAAATGCTACGAACATTTTGTTTTACAAGATAACTTAAAGCTTGCGCAGCTATTGAAAATTCTAACATCTCTCACACTTTATTGTATATTATTATTTTACTATAAGGAATAGAATGAGTTTGTTTTCAATAAGAAGAACGAGTTTGTTTTCATAATGTATAGTTATCTACTTTAGCCAACATTCCGGCAAAGTTCTTGCAGTATCTTGTAGAGTACAACAATTATTTTCGTTGATTTTTTGCAGGATCTTTCTTTTGTCTGATATCGGGTTTCCGTTGACAAATTTCTACATTTCATGTATACAAACAACACCACAATTGAACCACACTCGCGTGTGCGCATAGTTATTATACATATGAATCACTGTTTTCATCTCGACCGATCATACCATATATTTGTAAAAGCTCTCATAAACACAAACGTTAACTACGGATTCATGGACGCAGTTTTGACAGTAGAATGTTTTCTCCAATCTTTCCAAGCTCTTGATATATGTTGATATATGTTAAGGTTTGAGACTATACGGCAACAAAAGTTTCATTTTCAATTTTTCAAACCAGCACGGATTACCTAATTACAACTGTTACGCCGTTATAAACTTATGATTCTTTCCAGGAAGTAAAGATTTGCTTTTGGTGTGTTGAACTTGTAAATCAGGAACCAAGACTTGATCCTTGTGGCAGTTTATATTTCTCCAACGAATACAGCAGTTACTCACATTTAATCGTTCCCTCGACAAGAACGTAAAGATTTTTGAAACACCAGATAGATAGCTTATACTCCGTTGGCGACAGTCATCTGAAAGTGTTAACCTTTATAGCTAGTATATTAGCCATTAATCCATTTTCCTCATATCTTTGTCCACTCAGATACATATGTACGAATAACGAATACGTATTTTTTGTCGCCTCCATGTTAAGGCAGGAGAAAAAGTAGGCACTCTATTCATAGTATTCATAATGTTTGCTTTCATCAGTGTTCCACTACGTTGCGAAATTAATCGTGGTTGAATTTTGACGTCATTTTCCACAAATACAAGGCAAGATCCTCAACAGTATTGTAAGGTGGAAAAATATGCTTTCACCACCAAAAGTTCAAATGCCCCCTGTTTTTAATTCAAGATTGTGTTACATGTAGACAGTGATTCGGTGAAAGTATTTACAGATGTTCTGTTCTTGCTATATCGCTGGCTCCATATACTTTTTGCTCTCATCAATGCTTGTTCACGTTGCAGAATGTTGCTTACAGTTCAATTTTATATTTTACAAATACATGCAGAACTCAATACTGTTCTGTGTCACACTTGTTGACAACAGAACTTTAGTTGTCCGAAGATTGTCTGTAAACTCAGGCAGTCTTGTTTTTCGTTATAGATAATAGAGTGCTCAATACTACAAATATTTAGCAGAGCGAATTAATTTGTTATCTTAAAATGTTTCAATTTCTCGCAAAAAATGGAAACATTAAAACGAACATTTTAAGACAACAAATTATAGTTCGCTATATTTAATCAAAGGTTCAATTTTTTGCAGTGAGTTGAAAAACAATCATATTATATTAATCGTAGTATTTATCTCACCAAAAGACTTAACCGTTTGGCTTCTAGAGATAATTAAGGTGGCAACACCAATTTTGCAACCCGTCAAAATTACAGAAATTAGGTTAAAAATAATGCAAACTTTGTAGAAGGATTTCTAAAGTTTCTACCCACCTTTCTGCTCAAAAACAAAATGTTTTTATTTCTATTATTAAACTTTTGTTTCTTGTAGAAATTATTAAAAAAAGATGAAAAATCCCTGGCAAATTGACAGAGGCAAAGCCAAGGTCGGAAAAATGCCTTAAATTTGCTGTTTTCCGTTCAATTTGTTCCATGAAAGGGCAAATGTTGGAATTTCAGCACTAGTCTTTCCCCTTTTCTGGGGATTGCTTCATTATTTTTACAGAAAATTTATTCGCAATTTTGGCTACAACTAATTACTAGTTTTAGAAAAGATATGTAGCCATTTACCATTAAAATATTTTATTACGTTCCGTAACATGTTTCAACCTAACATCCACAATTTGGACAAGTGGCAATATTGGTGTCGTAAGGCAAACGGTTAAATATTTTGGTGCGAAAAAATGCAATATGTTAACTAATATGTCCATTCATAAAAAAAATGTATATTCGATTACAGGTACGTAATGATGTTGTACCACAAAATATGATAGGGGACATCCATTTGGGACACCCTGTATACACAAGGTGTATATTATGTTTTTATATTCGCTCTTTCGGCCATAGGAAGCCCAAGCGTTGATCTGTGTTAGTGTTGTATGTTTTTCAGTTTATTTATTTTAGTGTCTTAAAATTGCCTTTTAATTGGATTATAACACTAAATTACACTAATATGTCATTTAATAATAATACTCCTATAGTCGGACATATAATAACAACATATAAATTGATTTGTATTTGTATGTTTTTCAGTTTATTTGTTTAAAATCTATTATTAGCTTATATAAAAGCACCGCCTTTCGAACCTGACAGCCCGTTCGCAGGATACGCGCGGGATTTGAAATAGGGGGCGGCAACAATATAAATACGTGACAAGGGATGAAACTCTTAAAGTTTGTCGTATTATGAACGCCCCGACTGGAGTGGACCAATAATTATGCAATGAGTGTCGTGTCGAATAACGCCGTCAACCTTTGGGAATCAATGATATAAACAAGGAAACAAACTCGAATACAAATCGAGGTGAGAAGCCAATTTGTGTCGATCGTAACGATTTCAATGTTTAAAATTTAAAATTAAATAATTTAGGTCCAGTCAAGTCGGGGCGTTAATGCTACGAAACGTCGCTATTAAACACTATAGCAATTTATAAGACTCTAGGGCTTTTATTTCACAATTTTTTTCAACGGCTATGTACTTTAGCCTTAGACATATCATGTGGCCGAATTTCAAGCTAAAATTCGTTTTAACAAGCACGTACGGCGTCAAAATACAACATCGCCGTATTGTAATTTCATCCCTTGTCACACTTCTTATTTCAGTGCGAAATAACGCGCGTATCCTGCGAATGGGCTGTCAGGTTCGCAAGGCGGTGCTTCTATATAAGCTAATAATAGATCTTAAATAAATAAACTGAAAAACATACAAATACAAATCAACTTATATGTTGTTATTATATGTTCGACTATAGGAGTATTATTATTATATAACATATTAGTGTAATTTAGTGTTATAATTCAATTAAAAGGCAATGTAAAGACACTAAAATAAATAAACTGAAAAACATACAACACTAACACAGATCAACGCTTGGGCTCCCTATGTTTCGGCCGATTATTTTTTCAAAAATATATGTTTTTAACCATTTTAAATTTTAAAAATTTATTTGCTAACTTGTAAGAGTTTTTCATTGTGTTTTTAATTATGTAAAGGTTATAAACGCGAACAACTTGCCTTTTTCTCTTTCGCAAACGTCTGAAATTCAGTTTGAGCCGCCATTTTGTTTTTCTTTACTAGCAGGATATGAGCTAATATCCTGCCAGTAGACAACCAATCAGACTTTAGAGTACCTGATATCCAGACCTTGTGTATATAATAATAATTTAAAAACAATTTTAAGAAAGGTTACGGAAACTTGGCTAAGAAAAAGCGGTATATATATACAGGGTGTATCAAAATAAACGCAATTCATCTTTTGTGCTTAATAACTTTCGAAATACTATTTCTAGTTAAACGCTTTTAGGCTTACTTCAAAGCTTGTTCTTTTCTCTTTCAAACAAACTATTACCCTTGTCTCCAATGCTAGTAATAATTGCACAGGAAAAGATTTAGTAAAACCTATCATTTTTAGTTGCTGTTTAATTATGCAAGTTTACTATGTTATTGTTTAGTCGGTTTAAATGTTAGAATTTTCTTCTTTAAACTTTAATGTTGTCGTCACTACATCTGGAAAACCACGTACGAACAAATTAAAAGTATTTTAAAAGAGACCAGGTTGTTTGAAAATCCTAAACGAATGCTAAAAATCATAGAATCAAAACATTCTGGTGTCTGAGCCAGAGTGTCATCGAATTGCGATGTAATGTAAACAGAAATTATAGCAAGCTGATGTCAGTCAGCTTAGATGGTCCAAGCCAAAATTATATCGCATTTGAAGTTTCAAACTGTGTTAAAAATAGTGGAAGAAAAGCCGTAATTATACTTATTGTTACAATCCATTGATTAAAATGCAACATTTTTTTGTTTTAATGAAAAAATCAGTTATTTTCATGAGAACGATTTGTTATTCCATCTCAATTTTTTTAATCTCCAATCGCAACAACGTAAAGTATTATTACCCGCGAACCAATGAGTCAAATTTAAGAAACAACCCACTGTTAGAAAGCTGAATGGCTACGCTTTAAAATGAATGTAAACTTTAACGTTTTCGTCTATTATTTGTTTAGCAATTTACATTTCAGTCGAGGATTGCGCTTTTTTTTATACACCCTGTATATATAAAACAATTACGTCACTCATTATTTCCGGATTATAAGACAAAAGCCAATACGTCTACGAAATGTTTACTAAGTCGTTAGCCTGAGTTATTGGATGCAATTTCATAGTTGTGCACGTATGAATCAAATACATAAGGAATTTAACACCAAATTTGGAACTCTTACAAATTTTTGGTTTAATTTTTTCGAGGAATTAGATCTAGTAGAAATTCCAAGTCGTTAGCCTGCCTCCTCCGCAGGCCCTAGTTGCGTCTTGGGAAGGTCATGATCTGGCAAGGGCCTGCGGAATCTTGTAAAAAAAATGGCGCCGGCGTCACGTCAGCAAGTAAATTTCTACATCATCTTGAATATAAACAGGATATAAAAAGCGGCGTGAAAGTTGTAAATTAAACTGGCGACTCTTAGGACGTGGAAGGAAGCATTTTTTAACGATAAGGTTTGTTGTCCACACCAGCGTTGCACGAATAAAACTGCTTTCTTTAACGAAGCAGGTTCAAAACAAAATTTATTCATTTTACAAGATTCCGCATACCCTCTCGAAATCGTGACCTTCCCATGACACAACGAGGGTCTGCGGAGGAGGCAGGTCGTTAGCTTGATCCAAAAGAAAATAACGAATGTAAACCATTTGCATTAAAAATACTTCTTTAATTCAAAGAAACTTGCATCAGGCATGTTGCAATGTTGTTTCTATCAACCGAGTTTTAACATAGGCAACCATCAAATGTTATTGTTATATCATCAACATTAATTAAACACACTTAGTATAATTTTTGCATTTCAAATTAGCTTTCGCGCGTTCTGATTGGCTAGTTGACTAGTAAATCTGAGGCATCATTTACTACCAGACTTGTAAATAATGCTTTTCAAAAAGAACGATTCGGCAAATTTGGTTTCAAAATCGACAAAATATTGAAAAAATTGTCCTAGAAAACGAAAAAAAGCACAAAATGTTGTATTTAACTTGAAAGGTAGGACTTCTTTATTATTTTACTGTGTCAAACATATTCACGGACAATTTAAAACTTATTTAAAACTCCGAAACATTAATAATTAGCAAAAACTATCACGACTGTTGAAAAAAGCCATGATATTCTTTTTAAAAAAACTTTGTTTTGTATCCTATAAATTTCCCAATTTGTACGATACTATTTCTTTTGATATGTCATGTTTTCATTGTGCTGTAAGGTGTTTTGACCGCTGTATCGAAACTTGTAAATAAAAAGTGTTATTATACATTTAATATGTATTCTCGTTTCTAATTGGTCAGAAAGCACCGGCTAATTTTCAGTATTCGGCATTTATTACGTATTTTCCGCCGATGACGTCATCAGCGTCCAATAATTGTTTTTTTGGATCGAACTTGCATCCAAAAAAACAATTATTGGACTCTCTCGTGCCCAAACCCTTGCGCGGCCAAAAGCTTGAGCGTATAAGCGCGCGAAAAAAAAACAATGGCCTACAGCAGATTTGCTTCGCTGAATGAAAGTGAACTCTCCAAATTATTGGCAGATAAGGATAGTGAAAGCACGAAAAAAGCCACAAAGGGGTAAATAGAAGTAGAAATAGAATATTTAGCTGACCTTTGACTTTGTGCAAGGTGTTTGATATTCAAATTGTACTTTTCCTACCTCATGAACAGGAATCGTTTTATATGTTTCTCATGTCTTTAAATGTATAATAAAACAATTATTGGATTCGGCTTTCGCATGATATCAAGAATTATTCAGACCTTGGTCTATGTTATCCGCCTCAGCTTCGCTTCGGCAGATAACATTGACCTCGGTCTGAATAATTCTTGATATCATGCTCAGCCTCATCCAATAATTGCTTATTATTAAAACTTTTTCGAACGATATAGTTTTACATTTCATTTTACTAAATTCCTCAGCCATTTCCTGAAGAAATTAATGCTAAACAGAAACTATTTTTAATTCTAAGTCTGGTGAAAGAGTCATTCTGTTATTGTGTTCATATTCCAAGCAGAAATCAAGAAAAACAACTTTATAATAAAGCAATAAAGTCACACAAGAAGCCATTTTGAAAGTGTGTGCGTACAAGAAACATTGCAACACTATAGTTAGTGAACAGGCGGAAAACAATTTTATTTCTGAAATTTAATTAAACTGATATTCGGATATTTTGTTTTATTCATTAAAAATTTATACTAACACAATTAGTCGCCTCAGGCTCAGTGATTACGGTAAATATTCACCTCGACTTCGTCTCGGTGAATATTCACCGGTAATCACTTCGCCTTCGGCGAATAATTGTTAAATATAATGAGACACACATGTATATGGTTAGTTAGAATAATAAGAAACACCTAAAATGTTATATTAGAATTATATTAAGATATAAATCAGACATACAATAAACTATCACAAAAAATGTGAAATCCATGCTACGAAATTTGCAATTGCACCATGCATATATCCATATTATTCCCATACTATATCTATAGTATGGAAATATGCAACTATTGTATGGATAACCAAAATCGATTCTATTTCCAATAAAGATCCATACAATTTCCATTTTATGACCTTCTATGGATTTTCAAAATTTTTTCCAGTGTATAGTTAACAACTATAAGAGTATCAAGGAAACAGAGAGTATTGTTAAAAGGGCTGCATATTTTTTCAATGTGTATTTCATAACTACTGTTTAATCCGGTCAATTTAGGCCGACTTGTGTGGCGAAATATTGGAGACAGGGAAGAATTTAAACTTGCCAACAGATGTAATCGTAAGCTTTTGGTGAACAGTAAATAGAACTTAATCGATAAATTGTGAGTTATTGTTTATATAACATTTTTTTTCCAATGAATCGATAGGGCATGTGACTGCTCATGCATGTACATACATCAAATCATTTGAAATAATAAACAAGTTATTGTCTGGCCTGAACAGTGGAATCTATTTTAATATCAGAATGGGTGACAATAATGCATACTTACCACAAGCCAGATATTGACCAGAACTTTAGGTTAACTAAACAATCATCATCCTTTTATGCCTATCAAAGAGCTTCACTTACATAGACAATCATTGATTAAATGTTTTTTACATGATCAACTTTCGACATTTGTTAAACAAAGCTAAACTCTATTCTTCCCACTGTGTTTTCATGAAGCTACAACTATGGCAATTTGGACCACAACTCTAAGCCACAAACCCAAGGCTAAGTTGACATGTTATCGCGCCCTAGATATTACAATATAAACTAATTGACTTTCAATCAGGCCTTGAGTTGATAAATTAAATCACACAGTTTTGGCATCAATGAGATTGAAAGCAACCAAGTAGAATTAGTCGAGCTATTGTCTGAGTATTAAAATTATTATCATTTCAGATTCAAATTTAAAAATTTGAACCAAGATGGCTTAAAGAGTGAGTTGTTCACCAAATCCTATTAAATCTCAACTCTGTTTAACAATGAAATTTGGTGGTTTAAGTATTTTTTAAGTTTTCATGGTCATGGAAAATATTTTCTATAAATAGGCGAGCAACATTTGTTCAAATTTGCTCAAATTCGCAGTGGTGGAAAAGTGGGAGTTCGACTAAGCACTTTAAATCGGATCGTATTTGGCATTTTTTAACACAGTGAAACAAAAAGGTGTCAAATGACAGCCAAAAGTCATGTAACAATAACATGCCAAATTTGGATTACCTTTTTTATACATTTTTTTTACATTTCTGCTTCTGCTACGGAAACCTGGATACCCAACCATTACAAGTTCGTACTTTCCTTTCAACAATAAACAAGGTACAGACTCAAAGCTAACCGTATTTCTTCTAATATAAACACTACACAAACTACATAAGCAAGCAACTATCGCAAAATTAGATTTTGCCCTGCGCAAATCACACATAATTTTTAACAACACTTTCTCAGTTACAACAGTTTCTTCACCCATTTCTTTAAAAGTATCAATTGCCGCAACTTGGTTAGTTTAGCACAACAAAACTCCTGTTTCACAAACAAGAACACAACTTTAAAAATCTAAAGCTAACTATACATCTTTTACTGTTTTTCGTGAACCAACAACTTTTCCAATTTCACGGTGTTTGTTTTCCCCGAATCTCATCTCAACCAACATGAAGCACACAACCCAGGCGATGCAATTTAAAAAAATAATATTTCTTTTACTATTTTTCGCCAAAATAACAATTGCAGAAACGTGGAATGATTGCGATAAAAACGTTTCCACCCATCAACAACCGATAACCACTCTAATCAAACCAAACGTTATCTTGAAGAAAGTCAAATATAATTTCAAAATGGAATTCGATACATTGTTTGTCAATTTTAATCGCTTGGAACAATTTAAAGTGCAGAAAAAGGCTATAATAAGAGCATTTTTAGTCAGTAGTCCATTCTACTTTCTGGTAATGATATACTAGCTTACGCTTGGAATACAACTAAAAAGAAAAATGACATTTTAAAGGTACAGATTATGCATGCTAAAAATTAAAAGGATTCTTAAATTAAAGAACTACAAAATCCGAAAACATCTCACGAGATTTTTCTCTGACTTTCTCAATCTCATTCTTATGGAACTTCACGTCCTCTCCATAGACGGTAAATGGACCCCAGATTCTACTGGATTGGTAAGCTTCTATTTCGTGTTTCTGAAACAGGTTCATTGTTCTTCTTAAAGCTTCACAAACCGATGTTTCTTTGCAAAGTTCGCTATAGAATTTTTCCATAAACTCCTTTGTGGCATTATCGTCGATGGGCCATAGAGTGGCAAGAACACAGCGCGCTCCAGCTGCAAGAAATGCTCGAGTTATACCTATGACACCTTCCGTAGTTATTTCACCTTGCCCAGTATGGCAACAGCATAAAACTACCAAGCGAGCTTTCACAGACATATTTAGAATATCCCGCTGTGTGAGAAGATATGACTCTGGCTTGGGAACAGTCAAACATGGTTGCACCCCGGAAGAGGTTGGCGCAAGCATTATTTCACCTCGATCTGGTTCGCCATGGGCTGCGATATGGATTATGCTAGCTCGTTTTAGAAGCGGCAATACTACATTCTTTTTTGCAGCGGGTCCTAATAAAGGGGTTGCTTGGAAAAGCTTTGAGAGACATTTCACTTCTTCAGCGGCACTAGGAAGACCACGCGGTTCAAAATCTTTTCCGTTTAAAGAAACTTTTCCAACAGTTGGATTACCAACAAACAACGCAAAACCAAAATCTGAGTTACAGGATTGTTTCATGGTACACATTAGGGTATGCAATGAAGGTGTAATTTGAATGCTGTAACTGTTCGATAAATAAGAGCCATTTTCGTCAATTAATGCTGAAAATGGTGTAAAAAACAAGTGAGGGTCAGGAACAACAATGAGCTTATTGCCTTTAAAGAAATCTTTCACGGGATTAACTAAAAGTTTGAACAATACTTCCAATATTTCTCGATTACTCAAGTCACTATACCAAGCAATATTTTTAAGCGCATTTTTAGAGAGTGGCTTTCCGTTTGGTTTTCTGAATGGAAAAATTTTTTGATTAGCAATATCTACAACCGAGCCGGACTTGCAAAACGAAGAATTCCGATCAACACTAACTTCTGCCCTACGAAGAAGTTCCATAATTAGACACTCCAATGTTTCCAAACATGCATCAAATTTTCTAAAGATAATTTTATCATTTAAAACCCAAACATTAAGAGAACCTTCCAAATTGAAAGCAAATAGTAAAATTGAGGCATAATTTTTCCCAAGATGGAAAATTTTTTGCATTTCTTCAATTTCTTTTCGCTCTTCTTTGACCTTGATACTCCTCCATATCGCACGGGCATAATGGAACCTTTTCTTGTTCATCAAATTCTTCTGTTTTTCAACGCAGCAATGAAGCTCTTTAGCCCTTCCAAGGTCAATGACCAATAATGCGGATTCATTACGTTCCAATGAAAGAAAACAACTCATTAAAACAATATGAGCATAAAAATATAGCTTCGTGAACGATAGCTTATTTTCATCCGGAACCAAATCTAAAAAGATTTTATCGAAGGATTTAATTGACTTCACTAAATCTAATGTTGCAACTTCATATTCTCCAAGACATCGGTGTGCATTTCCTAAATAGCTAAGGTTACTTGCTTTTGCTGAACGATCGCTGATACCAGTGCTTATTTCTAAACCTTTTTCGTAATGGTTAATTGCCTTCTGATATTCTGCTAAACCGAAATAGGCATTGCCCAAATTCCCATTGTGGGTTGCTATTCCTGATTGATCGCCAATAGCAGTGCTTATTTCTAAACCTTTTTTGTAGTAGTCAATTGCCTTGTCATATTCTGCTAAACCAAGATAGCCATTGCCTAAATTCCCATTGTTACTTGCTATTCCTGACCGATCTCCAATAGCAATGCTTTTTTCTAAACCTTTTTCATAATAGTCAATAGCTTGCTGATATTCTTCTAACTTGAGATAAGCATTTCCCAAATTGCTGATGTTACTTGCTATTGCTGACCGATCGCCAACAGCAGTGCTTATTTCTAAACCATTTTTGTAATAGTCGATGGCTTTCTGATATTCTCCTAATCTGAGATAGGCATTGGCTAAATTGCTGTTGTTACTTGCTATTCCTGACCGATCGCCAATAGCAGTGCTTTCTTCCAAACCATTTTTGTAATAGTTAATGGCCTTCTGATATTCTCCGAAGCCAACATAAGCATTCCCCAAATTGCCATTGTTACTAGCTATTCCTGATCGATCGCCAATAGCAATGCTTATTTCCAAACCCTTATCGTAATATTCAATAGCCTTCTGATATTCTCCGAAACTGAGATAGGCATTGCCTAAACTGCCATTGTTACTTGTTATTGCTGACCGATCGCCAATAGCAGTGCTTATTTCTAAACCTTTTTTGAAATAGTCAATGGCCTTCTCATACTCTCCTAACCTGAGATAGGCGTTGCCTAAATTGCTGTTATTACGTGCTATTCCTGACCGATCGCCAATAGCAGTGCTTATTTCTAAACCACTTTTGTAATAGTCAATAGCCTTTCGATATTCTCCTAAACTGAGATAGGCAATGCCCAAGTTGCCATTGTTACTTGCTATTCCTGACCGATCGCCAATAGCAGTGCTTATTTCTAAGCCTTTTTTGTAATGGTCAATGGCTTTTTGATATTTTCCTAAACATCGATAGGCATTGCCCAAATTGCAATTGTCACTTGCTATTCCTGACTGATCGCCAATAGCAGTGCTTATTTCTAAACCTTTTTTGAAACAGTTAATAGCTTTCTCGTATTCTCCCAAACTGAGATAGGCAGTTCCCAAATTGCTATTGTTACTTGCCATTCCCAACCGTTCGCCAATAGCTGTGCTTATTTCTAAACATTTATTGTAATAGTCAATGGCCTTCTGATATTCTCCTAAACAACGGCAGGCATTGCCCAAATTTCCATTGTATCTTGCTATTCCTGACAAATCGTGAATAGCAGTGCTTATTTCTAAACCACTTTTGTAATAGTCAATAGCCTTTCGATAATCTCCTAAACTAAGAAAGGCGTTGCCCAAATTGCCATTGTTGCTTGCTATTCCTGACCGATCGCCAATAGCAGTGCTAATTTCTAAACCTTTTTTGGAATAGTCAATGGCCTTCTGATATTCTCCCAAACATCGATAGGCATTGCCTAAATTGCCATTGTTACTTCCTATTTGTGACCGCTCATCAATAGCAGTGCTTATTTTTAAACCTTTTTTGTAATAGTCAATAGCCTTTCGATATTCTCCTAAACTAAGATAGGCGTTGCCCAAATTTCCACTGATACTTGCTATTCCTGACATATCGCCAATTGCAGTGCTTATTTCTAAACCTTTTGTGCAATAATCAATGGCCTTCTGATATTCTCCTAGACTGAAATAGGCATTGCCCAAATTTCCATTGGTACTTGCCATTCCTGACTGATCGCCAATTGCAGTGCTTATTTCTAAACCTTTTTTGTAATAGCCAATGGCGCTCTGATATTCTCCTAGACTGAGATAGGCATTGCCCAAATTTCCATTGGTAGTTGCTATTCCTAACTGATCGCCAATAGCAGTGCTTACTTCTAAACCTTTTTTGTAATACTCAATGGCCTTCTGATATTCTCCTAAATATCGATAGGCATTGCCCAAATTGCCATTGTTATTTGCTATTCCTGACCGTTCGCCAATAGCAGTGCTTATTTCTAAACCTTTTTTGTAATAGTCAATGGCCTTCTGATATTCTCCTAGACTGAGATAAACATTGCCCAAATTTCCATTGGTACTTGCTATTCCTGACCGATCAACAATAGCAGTGCTTATTTCCAAGCTTTTTTTGAAATAGTTAACGGCCTTCTGATATTCTCCTAAACTGTGATAAGCATTGCCTAAATTGCCATTGTTCTTTGCTATTCCTGACCGATCGCCAATAGAAGTGTTTATTTCTAAAGATTTTTTGTAAAGATCAATGGCCTTCTGAAACTCTCCTAAACAGAGATAGGCATTGCCCAAATTGCCACTGTTACTTGCTATTCCTGACAGATCGCCAATGGCAGTGCTTACTTCTAAACCTTTTTTGGAATAGTGAATGGTCTTCTCATATTCTCCTAAACTGCGATAGGCATTGCCCAGATTGCCATTGTTAATTGCTATTCCTGCCCGATCGCCAATAGCAGTGCTTATTTCTAAACTTTTGTCGTAATAGTAAATGGCTTTCTGATATTCTCCTAAATATTGATATGCATTGCCCAAATTGCAGTTGTCACTTGCTATTCCAGACCGATCGCCAATAGCAGTGCTTATTTCTAAACCTGTTTTGCAACAGTCAATGGCCTTCTGATGTTCTCCTAAACTAATATAGGCTTTGCCCATATTGCCATTGTTACTTGCTATTCCTGACTGATCGCCAATAGCAGTGGCTATTTCTAAACTTTTTTTGTAATAGTCAATAGCGTTCTGATATTTTCCTAAACATTGATAGGCATTGCCCAAACTGGCATTGTTACTTGCTAGTCCTGACTGATCGCCAATAGCAGTGCTTATATCTAAACTTTTTTTGTAACAGTCAATAGCCTTCTGATATTCGCCTAAACTGAGATAGGCATTGCCCAAATAGCCATTGTTACTTGCTATTCCTGACCGATCGCCAACAGCAGAGCTTATATCTAAACTTTTTTTGTAACAGTCAATAGCCTTGTGATATTCCCCAGAACATTGATAGGTATTGCCCAACATGCAGTTGTAACTTGCTATTACTGGTCGATCGCCAATAGCAGTGCTTACTTCCAAACCTTTTTTGTAACAGTCAATGGCCTTCTCATATTTTCCTAAACTATGATAAGCATTGCCTAAAGTGCCAATGTTATTTGCTATTCCCAACCGTTCGCCAATAGCAGTGCTTATTTCTAGCCCTTTTTTGGAATAGTCAATGGCCTTCTGATATTCTCCTAAACATTGATAAGCATTGCCTAAATTGCTATAGTTACTTGCCATTCGTGACCGATCGCCAATACCAGTGCTTATTTCTAAACCTTTTAAGAAATAATCAATGGCCTTTTTATATTCTCCTAAACTGAGATAGGCATTGCCCAAATAGCCATTGTTTTTTGCCATTCCTGACCGATCGCCAATTGCAGTACTTATTTCTAAACCTTTTTTGTAATAGTCAATGGCCTTCTGATATTCTCTTAGACTGAAATAGGCATTGCCCAAATTTCCATTGTTACTTGCTATTCCTGACCGATCGCCAATAGCCATGCTTATTTCTAAATCTTTTTTGTAATGGTCAATGGCCTTTTGATATTCTCCTAAAATGAAATAGGCATTGCCCAAATTGCCACATATACTTGCTATTGCTGACCGATCGCCAATAGCAGTGCTTATTTCTAAACCTTTTTTGCAATAATCAATGGCCTTCTGATATTCTCCTAAACTGAGATAGGCATTGCCCAAATAGCCATTGATTTTTGCTATTCCTGACTGATCGCCAATTGCAGTGCTTATTTCTAAACCTTTTTTGCAATAATCAATGGCCTTCTGGTATTCTCCTAGACTGAGATAGGCATTGCCCAAATTTCCATTGTTAGTTGCTATTCCTGACCGATCGCCAATAGCAGTGCTTACTTCTAAACCTTTTTTGTAATAGTCAATGGCTTTCTGATATTCTCCTAAACATTGATAGGCTTTGCCCAAATTGCCATTGTTACTTGCTATTCCTGACCGATCGTCAATCGCAGTGCTTTTTTCTAAACTTTTTTTGTAATGGTCAATGGCCTTCTGATATTCTCTTAAACATCGATACGCAGTGCCCAAATTAGCATTGTTACTTGCTATTCCTGACCGATCGCCAACAGCGGTGCTTATTTCCAAAGCTGTTTTGCAACAGTCAATGGCCTTCTGATATTCTCCTAAACTAAGATAGGCATTGCCCAAATTTCCATTGATAGTTGCAATTCCTGACAGATTGCCAATTGCAGTGCTTATTTCTAAACCTTTTTTGCAATATTCAATGGCCTTGTGATATTCTCCTAGACTGAGATAGGCATTGCCCAAATTTCCATTGCTAGTTGCTATTCTTGATCGATCGCCAATTGCGCTGCTTATTTCTAAACTTTTTTTGTAATAATCAATGGCGTTCTGATATTCTTCTAAACAGAGATAGGCATTGCCCAAATTTCCATAGCTAGTTGCTATTCCTGACCGATTGCCAATTTGAGTGCTTATTTCTAAACCTTTTTTGGAATACTCGATGGCCTTCTCATATTTTCCTAAATGTCGATAGGCATTGCCCAAATGGCTATTGTTACTTGCTATTTCTGACCGATCGCCAATCGCAGTGCTTATTTCTAAAGCTTTTCTGTAATAGTTAATGGCGTTCTGGTATTCTGCTAAATCGAGATAGGCATTGCCCAGATTGCCATTATTACTTGCTATTCCTGACCGATCGCCAATAGCAGTGCTTATTTCTAAACCTATTTTGTAATAATCAATAGCCTTCTGATATTCTCCTAAACATTGATAGGTATTGCCCAAACTGCAATTGCTACTTGCTATTCCTGGCAGATCGCCAATCGCGGTGCTTATTTCTAAACCTTTTTCGCCATGGGTAATAGCTTCTTTATAACTTCCTTTGCATCTATATGCACCGCCCAATCTGAAATTGGTATTTGCTACTTCTAGCCCAGCACCAATTCTAGTGCTTATTTCTAAACTCGTTTTGTAATATGTTATAGCTTCCTCGTATTGTTCCAGATTAAAATATGTATTGCCTAACTTTGTATTGCTTTCTAACATTTCTGACCAATGTCCAATTTCGGTGTAAATTTGTAAACTTTTCTCATAATTCTGAATGGCCATTTTATTCTCTCCTAAAGTAGCGTACGAATCACCCAATTTATTGCTGTACTTTGCTATTCCCAACGGATCACGATTTGAAATACAAGTTTGTAAACGCTTTTCGTATTTAGCTGTGGTCTTTTTGGAAGCCATTAAATTACCTTTTTAATTAATAACCCTTTTTTTCTTGATCGATCTGAAACAAACATATATAAAAACTATTTGACTGCATAGTTTGCAACCTCTATCTGTTAATTAAGGAGCTTGGGGGTTAATTATATAATTGAAAGTTTTTAGATGGTCTATATCTTTTACCTTTGTTGGTGGATGCCAATGTTCATATCGAAAAGTAGAGAAGTAGATAATATACCACCTGAAAATTGGAAAAAGAAATATCACTTTTTGAGCTAATGCGCTTGTCTTGATGTTCATTCCATGAGTCCGAAAAACATACTGGTGCTTTAATGCTAGGGAACCCATACTAGGGTTATGATGACTCAATAGTTGACATACACAACTTAACGTTAGCGAAAGAATATTCAGTTATGTTAATAGTGTACATTGGCTCCCCAACGTACAACCTATATGTATGTTAGTTTTGCCAAAGGCTCCTTTTAATCAAACGTTTCAAGTTGCAGTTCATCCAGGGTTGAAAATTTTGATAAATCTTCACAGCCTTCAATGGTACTAGAGTATCTAATCCGTAATTGATACAACAACAACCTTAATAGGTTATTTCATATCAACAAAAGTCTTCTACGATTCAATGCCGCCATTTTGTTTTGAATATGATATTTGGCGCGATTTTCTCGTTTCTCTATTTTTCGATCTCTCGTGGAAATCAAACCACCTTTCGCGCAACAATTTTCGCACGAAAAAACACGCTTTGCGAGAAAAAATTCGCAAGAGGAAAACCAGCTTAAATAGCGCGACGCGTGACTAAATGGCGCAACTTATAAAAATGGCGCGACTCGTAAAACATGGCGCAACTCGTGGAAAATAGCGCGACTCGCAAAGTTTTTGTAGCAATTTTTTAGCAGGTTTTGGTGGACGAATTTGAGAACAGACGCTGTTATACTTGCTGACTCTTCACTTACAAGTGAAGTAGTTAGCGGGCTCTATTTAGGGCTAGTTAAAGTCATAAGAGACACATGAAACGTTTTACCAGTAAATATTGCACCGTAATGACAAGATATAAACTGATCAATATTTGCAGTTTATAGTTCACAACTTTGTTATAGTTAAATTAATGCTCTTAATAATAAAGTTAGTAGCAGGCCAAATTTAGGGAGTAAGAGATACAGTACATGGAAAGTTTTTTACCAATTAATTTCTTACCCAATGTTTTTGAAATAATTAAAATGCTATTTGCTACTACTATTTGCTACGATACTTTAAATTGTTGAAATTTATTTTATTTTGTTCTTGTTTTCGTTAGTCATTATATGTAAAAAGTACATGGAATGCCCCGTGGGCTTTAACTATATATTATATTATTTGGCCTTGGCTAAGTTATTGTTGTCATGCTAAATTATGTATACAATATGGTAATAAGTATATAACTAACGTTTCACGTGAAGAAAGAAAAGCAGCCACTTCCCGTTTCAAATGCTAAAATTAAATTTTTCGCAAAAATAACAGTGCATATAATGTATTTTCTATCTAATTTATCATAATTGCACGTTTTCGAAACTACTTTTACCACTGAAAACTCGACATTGGAAGCTCAACATTGAAAGCCTTCTTTAAACCAGTCGATATATCTAGTATTTCAATGCATGTTACATATGTACCTGAAACTCTACACAAAAAGTTTAATTTGGGGTGGCCATGAGACTTTCATGCGGTGTGTAACTTAAATAAATGATTATTATTATTATTATTATATTATTATTATTATTATTATTATTATTATTATTATTATTGTTATTATTATTATTATTACTATTATTTTCAGAATTAATCAAGTACATACTAATTTATAGATAAAAAATCTAAAAAATTAACATGCATCTATTACAATGTTAAACTACTGTATAACTACTGAAAATCTATAAGTTACAAACTTGTTAAGAATCCTCTTATATGCTAATTTAACACTAGCTAGTCACAGAGTCAATACACTTTATGGTGTCATGTAGATCGTTCCAAATTTTTACGGCTCTGTATATAAATCTACGTTGGCCAGAGGCATTATGATAAAACGGAGTTTGTAACGTATCTTTACATGTCAAACTCATTAATAATTCATGAGTAAATTAGCCAACCATATTGCTTTATCTTGCTCACATGATAATACTGGATACCTGATGAAGTACATTGATCCAGTCCTAGGACTGGATCAAAATTAATTAAGTAGTGATTTATCAAATTGTGCGGACTTGAAATCTAGTCCTGTCCTCATAATCGGATTTGAAATATTACTTCTAGTGTTACAGTTATGTAACTATAATCGTTGTTTAAACTTTTCTGATAAGTATGTTGGGGCTAAGTCTTTTAGACATTTAGAAATTATTACAGCGTCCATAATATTCAAAGTACTATTTACTGGTACTATTTACTTACAAAACAGGTGTTATATGATCGAACTTTCTTAAAGAAAAATAATTCGACATAATTTGTCTTAATGAAACATTACTGGACGAAACAATTAATGATCATGAAGTTAATATTGAAGGCTATGACATTGTGAGAAAAGATAGAAATCGTAATGGTGGTGGGGTAGCTATTTATGTTCGAAGTAGAATCAATTACATGATAAGGGCTGAGTTTGACACAGAAGGCTTAGAAACAATCACGGTTGAGATCTCTAAGCCAAAATCAAAACCATTTATTATTAATTGTGTATACAGACCTCCAGATTCAACAGTCGAATTATTAAATACTTATGAAAAATTAATCGAGAAACTTGACTACGAAAACAAAGAAACAATCTTGATTGGAGACTTCAACTGCGATTGGACAGGCGTTAAGTCGAATAAAGTCAAACCGCAAACTAATAAATTGCACGAAATTACTCAAACGTATCAATTCGAACAAATGATAGATCAAACCACGCGAGTAACTATCAATTCAGAAACAAAAATCGATTGGCTTTTACAAATAAAACGGAACTAATAATTCATTCTGGCGTAATCCATATCGGAATAAGTGATCATAGCTTAATATTAATACAAAGAAAAATTTCCATACCACGACCTGAACCAAAATTAATTAGAAAAAGCCACTATAATACACTACAATGTTAGTGCTTTTAGATCGGATTTGGCAGCATGCTTAGTAAATTTAATATCTATTATCCAAGATCCTAACGACATGTGGTCAGAATGGAAGATATAGATTTTCACTAGTCGCAGATACACACGCACAACAAGAAACTAGGAAAGTAAGAAGTGTAAACTCTCCCTGGGTTACAAAACGTATAAGACAAACAATGCGCCATAGGGACTATCTTAAGAAAACGGTTGTTCAAACAAAATTTAAACATTATTATGACGCTTATAAAAAACAGCGCAATGAGCTAAATAAATTGATTAAAGGTAGGTTACAGTTCCTCCTGCGCATGCGCGGGCTTTGTTTACGTTTTTTGTTTTGATCCACATTAATTATATAAGATGAAGTATATGACGAGTTCAAAGTAACATTCCACATAATTTGTGACCGAGAAGTGCAATGTTTGACAATACTTCGCTTCATTTCTTGTACATTTCTACACTGGAAATTTTTGTACACAATATAACTGTTTATGTATGTAATATGTAACTGTTTAACTGTAAACATCGTGAATGAAGTTATAAAGAGGCCGCTTTGAACGTTGTGGAACTTGCTATATCAACAGCTGGGGCGGCGAACCGAAATCCCGAAGGTGTGAGTTCGAATAATTTGTGTTTACCTTTGGAGTGTCTCATCATAAAAATATTTAATGCGGTATCAATCCCTCGAAACATGTTGCCAGTGTTGTTGTTGTCATTATGACAGAAGCGCTTGGCCTTGGGTAAAGCTTTTCGCTTGACGAAATTCGAAACAAGTGTGATTGAGAATGTGGTTGCAGTTCCTGTCTTCGTGGCAAAGCCAAGGGCGAAATTTTTGACCGTGCAAAAGATGGATATACAGCTTTATTTGTTCAAGCTCGTGCGCGCTATGGAGATGATTTCGTTATAAACAACAGAGTTCAATAGATTGACAGTGACGAGAGTACGAGACGCTAAGATTATATTCAAGTTTTTAGTTGTGTTATAAATATGTATGTTTTGAAATTATGAACTGGAAGTATGAATTCATTGATATTACTCTCATATTGACACTAAATGATGATATTCTTGCGACACTGAATGATCTAATAGCAATATTAACTTGAACAATTCTTGTCAATCTAGTGATCACGTTAGTTCATCATGTCTCTTCAAGACAGAGGACAATTGCTAAATATATGCTTGTTTCGCTGTATATCAGAGCTCATCAGAATGCTCAGGAAACACTGATGAAATTTTTATTTACATCAACGAATCAGTCTTTCTTTTTCTTAACAGATTTATTGGGTTATATGATAATACAAATAATTTATAAACAATTATTATTAAAACACATATATCCAAGGGGATAGGCATGAATATGACTCAAGTGCTTGTGCTTCCCTCCTGAAAGTACTGAATATACTAAATATAATTACAGTTTGTGACATAAATTCAGGTAAGCACCATTCACATAAGAACCTGTTTAGGCTAACTTGGAAAAAATCTAGGTTCTTAGGGTTTTACTGTCTAGTCTAGGGTTTTACTGTGTTGTCTGATTTCATGTCACAAAACAGGCCATGGGCATGGCAGCTTGTTCTGACAATATATACCTATATATGGGATAGTACAATATGAAGTGGCTTGTGTTTCAGATTGCTTTGTGTAGGAGGTAATCCATCTAGGAGAAAGAAAGCTCGGATTTCAAACCCCCAGATCCCACCTTGGACAATACATGTAGTGAATGCATGATCATTAGAGCTTGGAAATTAGGTTAAATTCTTAAAGAAAAGGACTCATTTTTGGTATTCGAGGTATAATTTACATGTATATACAAATATATAAATTGCGCACAAATTATCTAACGAATAGCTATGCCGCGGTAAAGCTATACTGTAAAGCTGCAAACACTTTATTTATCTCAATGACATTTTCAGTGTTCTGGATCATTTTCATTACTTTGACTTTGTGAAGAGTTTATTTTCTTTGATTTATATACATTTTTCGATTTGATTTGTCTTCATGTGATAAAATAAAAACCTGAATTGCTAGCCTAAACAAATTCTTATTTAGGGTGTCTAAATAAAAATTTTTAGCCTGACAGGTTCTTAAATTGTAAGTTCTTTATGCAAGCTTTTAGTCACAATTAGGGTGAAAAAATATACTAGTAATTATTAATTGAGTTTGTTTACATCATATAAGTTTCTGTGATCAAAATGTTTTATAAACTAAATGTCTTAGGCGGTGTTTATATGGAGGCGAGCCAGCCCGGTTACCTGAGCTAATTTAATTTAATTTTTAAAAGTCAATTTTTAAAACTTACACCAAAGTGCGTTTAGTTATCGAACTACGAATCAAATTTTATAATCGCTGACTTTTTAACAGCTATCAGCACAAAAAAATTCTTACTTTTGCTGAATTAACGTCAGCAAAAATTTGCCGGCCTGGGAGGTTGATAGGTTGGCATTTAGGTCGGCATTGCCGAATGCCGACCTCGTTTTCGAGGGCTGTAAGCTGCTTTGATTAAAATATACTTTGATCAGAGAAACTTTTTATGTGTTTCTATTAAGTGAGCACAATTTGTCCATGAGAAGACAGTCAAAGACAGTAAAGCACGGTCAAGTATATTAATTTATATCATTTATCATTCTGACAATAAACACTATATAAACAGCCATCCAAAACATGTTGACTCAAAATTGCTCATTAACACTTTTTCATTGACAACTCCTACTCAAGAGTATCATATCTTTAGGCCTTAATTATATGGGTTTCAGTTTGTAAATAAAAGAGATAGAACAGTTCGTATGTATAACTATAGTGTATAATTAAAATTTAAAATAGCAAATAAAGAGAATTTTATAGTCATTAAAACCTCGATTGATGGGCTTCAACAAGCGATTTCACTGAAGTGTCCACAGTGAAGGCCAGTGATGGGAGTGAATAGCAGCTATGTTGGGTGAAATGTCCAACCTTCTTGGATTCTTTTCTTGAAAACCTTTAGTAGAAGCTTGAGGATCAGAGGATGTAGGTTCATGGGGAAACGAAAACAGAAATGGGACGCTCTCCATCGAGGAACACAATAAAATAAATACACTTTGATACACATTGTAAGCATCCCTGCTAGCGTGGTATTCTTTCCTACTCGTCATGTTGCCTCAAAAACTCGTTATTTGAAGGATTGTCGCTCAAAAAAGCTCAATATATTTTGGAAACTTCTAGCTTCACTCCTTCGCTTGCGAAAAAAACAACGCGCGTGTTATTGCCAGAAATGAGACTGGACCGAGTATAAACGGAGATGCCCAACTTCCGGTGGAGTCCCCAGGCAAAAACAATCACAGACATGCGCAGAAGGGACTGTAACCTACCTTTAAGAAAACTAAAGCCGAATATTTTAAAACAAAAAATGTTATTGATTTTATTGCTTCATCTGAAAGAGCATGAAAAAATAAGCCGATTGGCCGTTTACTGCTCTATTCTATCTCATCTGGTTCCGAAGTTATACGCAAAAATGTGCAAATTATAAATTGCTGATTCAGCACATTCTGTGACGTCATAAGCTGGGTAAGTATGTTTATTGAATAGTAAACTAAAGCATAGCTGAGTTATTATTGGCTCAAATCAAATGAAATTTTGCATACAGATAGTACATGATGAGATGCATGGGAAAAATACTTCTAATTTCGTTGTCAAGGCAACACAGTCGTTCCCAGGCTTCTTACACTGATTTTGAATAACTAGTTGCATTTGTCTATGTGTATGTCATTTTCGAATTATTATCATGCAAGTAAACTTTTGGCATGCATAGGTATCATACACATACTTCTGATATTATTTTATTTTTATCAGTACCTTGAATAAAGCTGTTTCATAAAATTGGCGCAAGGGGCCTGGAAACGACATTGTTGCCTTGGCAACAAAATTAGAAGTGTTTTTCCATGCGTCTCATCATGTACAATCAGTATGCAAAATTTCATTTGATTTGGGCCCATAATAACTGAGCTATGCTTTAGTGTAGTATTCAATAAACATACTTACCCAGCTAATGACGTCACACGTTGTGCTGAATCAGCAATTTATATGTTCACATTTTTGCGTATAACTTCGGAACTAGATGAGAAAGAATAGAGAATTAAACGGCCAATCGGCTTATTTTTTCATGCTCTTTCAGATGAAGCAATAAGGGGAGGGGGGGGATCCCAATGTGATTTTGATCAGAAATGTTGCATTTAAATCATTTTATATAGGTTCTATGAGACACCATTTCCGCATTCTAAAAATTGTGTTGCTTTTTCATACGATACAGAATAAGTCTGAGAAAAAATATTCATGCTATGATGATGCATACATGTAGTTAACAGCTAAACTAAATCTATTCGTCTTGGAACCATATCTACAACTGCTTTAACGAGATTTCACAATCAAGTTCCTCCAGTATATCGTCTTTTTCCTCAGTCGAGACGTACTTAATCAGTTTCAGCTTCAAGCATGTAACCCCCCCAATTTCTCTACGGATTTAGCCTTTCTGAGAGAATGGTTTTTGTGGCGATTGGGGGGGGGGGCTCTTAATATAACTTGATATTTTTAAGAAAAAAATTTTGCAATAAAACCTCCCAAAACAAAACACAACGCCTCTGCGGAGGAGAGAGCTAGGAAATAGTCGCAAGGCTTGGAAAGGCTAGCATTTTATCGGATTGTTTGCATGAAATCTATCGCTATTATGAAATACTCGGTGAAGAACAATATGAACTGGAAGGGCATATAATCTCATTATCAAGTAAATCAACTGCATGCAACTCTGACAGCAATCATGAGCAATTGCGCTTCGCACTTCGGGGGCAGAAATGGCTTTACTGGGGGGGGGGATTCTTTCCCTGGGGGGCAATTGCCCCCCCCCCCCTCAGTGTTCTATCTGATAAAGCACGGACTTTTAAATGGCAAATAAACATAAAATTCTGGTTCACATATACCACTTACACCTGCGATGTGTCGACGGGCTCGAGGCACTGATCTAGAATAAAACTGGATAACGCATCTATAGTATACAAAAGTGAAGCCGGAAGTCACCGGTCGCCACCTGATTCTGGGGCCCCACTTTTGTATAGATTTGTATTACAGATGCTAGTTTTTCGCGTTTTTTGCCTTGGCTACATTTCTGATCGGACCAGTTTTACAGTCACAAATATAGAAGCATACAAGAAGAATTTTGAGCCAAAAATTTGGAGTATTATGGCTTTATAACGCCGCGAAACGGGATTACAACTTTGAAGGAGTGGAGAGCCTCAAACTTTGTTTATCAACACGAGCTCGTTTTGCTACTTTCATACAAAATCAACTCAAAATATACAAGAATTACTGGACCAATATTCTCAGGAAATTTGAAGAAATGAATCAGCTACATTGTGAACAAAAGCGTACTGAGGTTAGTTTTAAAACACCTTGAAGCTACTTTTATAATTATATGAATTAAGGAACAATTTTAAATGCCAATTTTGACTTGTCGAGAAGTTTTAACTTTTATATGTTTTAAAGTAGCTTCACAAGTGACAATCAAATATTTTTAATCCAAGTTAACAATGATTCAATACGATGTGTTATTATTATTAGTATTATCGATGGTAAAAGAGAACAAGTTTGTTTAATTTCTCCCTTATATAAATGTTTCCACAGGCATCTTGTGTAGCTTCCTTGCCAAGATGATATAGCCTGACTTTACAATATAGACATCTCACAATACATTTGACCAGGTTGCGAATGTGGTTCACCTTAATACATTCACAGCCTGGTCAAATGTATTGTGAGATGTTATTTTATTACAGAATACAGTAAAGCACAAAGAAGTTACATAGGTAATTATATATGACGCATGCATGTGGAATTATTATATATAAGAAAGAAATTAAACAAACCTGTTCTCTTAACCCATCAATAACAACCCATCAATAACATTGTATTGAGTCATTGTTAACTTGGATTAAAAAATATTTGATTGTCACTTGTCTTCCTACTTAGTTAAAACATATAACACTTCTCGACAAGTCAAAACTGGCATTTAAAATTGTTCCTTAATTCATAGAATTATAAAAGTAGCCTCAAGGTGTTTTAAAACTAACCTCAGTTTTTGTTCACAATGTAGCTGCTTCATTTCTTCAAATTTCCTGAGAATTTTCGTCCAGTAACAGTAATTCTTGTATGTGTTGAGTTGATTTTGTATGAAAGTAGCAAAGCGAGCTCGTGTTGATAAACAAAGTCTGAGGCTCTCCACTCCTTCAAAGTTGTAAATCCCGTTTCGCGGCGTTATGAAGCCATAATACTCCAAATTGTTTGCTCAACATTCTTCTTGTATGCTTCTATCTTTGTGATCGTAAAACTGGCCCGATCAGAATCGTAGCCAAGCCAAAAAACGCGAAAAACTACCATCTGTAATACAAATCTATACAAAAGTGGGGCCTCCAGAATTGGGTGGCGGCCGGTGCAGAGGCGTAGCCAGGATTTTCGGTCAGGGGGGGCCGGCAAAAACTCAGGTGGGGCCAAGCCGCCAGTGACTCGAGACGCAAAGTTCGCGCAAGAAAAATTTTTTGCGGACTACAGAACATTTTAAATCTCCCTCCCCCCCCCCTCCCGTCGACATCTTTTTCAGTAAAAAATTTTTCTGGACAATAACATTAGAATTGCAGAATTGCTTTCGTAGCACTTTTCCCGATTTCCATATCACTTTTTCCGATGCTTCACCAGAGGGTCTTGAAGGGGTAAAATGGGAACTGGGATTGATCTATTTTTGACTGGGAAAATGGGATTTGGGTTGCTGGGACTGGGATTTGGCCACTGGGAATGGGAAATGAAGTCCTCAAAAATGGGAATGGGATTGAGGTAATGCGAGTCGATTCCCAATTTTTCTACGTTTTAAGTATTTTAAATACAATTTTGATCCATTTTTGGTGTCTTTGGTCATGATTTTTGTTGTTAACTATATTACTGACAGCACTACCTGCGAACAGGTATACTCTGGCGCCCGGAATTCTGGGTTTTCTGATTATGCGTGTCTCAGAATGCTGCAAATGCCATTTCCGGGATTTAAATTTAAAAATTTCCGTGCCTTCGGCACAACCCCTCCCCCAAATTTCATAAAGTGTGCCCACTTGCCCACACGATGGCTTAAAAGTCTTCAAACTGTTTATCGGACCGATAAATAAAGGGTTTTTTATTGACTGGGATTTCAATAACTCGGACTGGGATTTCTAATAAAAATCCAACTGGAACTGGGATTTTGCCAAAATTTCAGGTGGGAAATGGGATTGGGACCCCCCCCCCCACCCCCCCTTCAGGACCCTCTCACCACGAAGATTCCGACTAACATTAGAGAGTTTGAGCAAGAGAACGAAGTCGGACGACGACGATGTGGACCGTGGTTGACTGTCTTGCACATTATCTTACGCATTCTGAGTTTAGGGTCAGGCGTGAAAACAGATTAGAGATTTATGTCTAGCTGTTTATGAATGCTGACCCAAGTCCTTACCCTGCTCAAGACAAAACAGCGAGACATGAATCCATATCTCGTCTTCGTTCTTCTGCCTTCGTTCACAACAAAAAATTCGCAAAAATTTTGGCAAAATTCGCTGTGAACTTCGTTCCGAACGAAGGCAAAAGGACAAAGACGGGATATAGTTTCATGTCTCGCTGTTTTTTTCTGGGTCAGGGCAAGAATTAGGGTCAGTATTTATAAACAGCGACACATGGGAAGACACGTTGAGCAACCACCAGTGACGTCCAACTCAGTATGCGCAAGATAATGTGCAGACGGCAAAAATTGGCAAGAACGCCTTCGTCTTCGTACTTCGTTGTCTTGCTCAAACTCTATATTGACAATTTTCCGACGGGTTTTAATTTCCCGACGGGTCTCCCCCCCCCCCCCCCCCACTCCCCTCCGGCCACGGCGCACTGCGGAGCCCGCATTAAAAATTCACTTGTAAAAAAAAAACAGATTGGTTTAAACTTCACCTAACCCTTATTTAATGCATATTGAAATAATTATGGTTAGAAAAGGTATGTGTTTCAAGCTGTGTGCCACAAATAAGCGAACAAGTGATTTTAGGTTTTACACCGGTGCCCAGCAAAGCATATATTCTACAGAATTTTTGCATTATTGACAGCATGAAGCTATATAATCAAGGATTTCCTTTTTTATACAATACATTTTATCAGGGCCCCCCAAAATTTTGCCAGGGGGGCCCCAAATTTTGCCAGGGGGGCCGGGCCCCCCGGCCCCAGCCCTGGCTACGCCTCTGGGCCGGTGACTTCCGGCTTCACTTTTGTATACTATAGATGCATTATCCAGTCTTTTATTTCAGATCAGTGGCTCGAGGACAGGCTATTGAGTATTTCACAAAAGAATGTATGCATACTGCCATCAACAGCTGCTATGAAAAGCTGTGAACGATGATATAACATGCAGGCATACCGCAGGCATATTGAACCAGGCTAAAGAAAGAGTAAAGTAAAGTGCTTAGCTGATATTTTACTTCGCTTGAATATACTTATTCGCAATTGCCTTCCTTTTGATTTTACTGAAGCGATGTCGTTCAAGAACTGAATACCGAACAACATGGTCATGGAGCAAAACTTGTATACAAGGACGTCAAATTAAAGCCACGTTACTTCGAAAACTACAGGGTGTATCAAAAAACCTGCAAACACTATAATTTGCATAATTTTATAACGGGAAACTTCCAGCCACCCTCGGTGCGTCCAATCCCGGACTCACCTTACCTGCAAGTATGTTTGGTTTTTATCACATGCCATTTCGGTAAAAAGTACCAAATTGACGCATTTTAGTATATAATTTCTTGTTTGGATAACGAACATTTTAGCCGCTAACATACTACGCAAACAAACAAACTTAGGCTTAAATTGAAGTGAAAAAAATTCCCTACAACATTCCCTTATTTCTAAAAAGAGATAATGAATACATTCTGCGAAGACATTGCCAAGATTTATACAAACCTGCCGGTGCCGAAAAATTTCGGCGGCCATCTTTATTCTCCTCCACATTGAATACACAATATTCCATTTTCATCAAACAAATTAAGAAATATATAACAATTTATATTTTAATTATTAAATTCATTTCAATATTAAAAACATGCAATTACAGTTTTATAATCTGCAACAATTATAATAAATATTTGATTAAATTTATAAGTTCTTTGAATAAAGTTGTTTCAATAGTCACAAAAAGGCTACCCTGGATTCCAGAGCCTTCGACAGTAAATAATAAATTGAAACGTCGCGAAGGCTCTGGTTCAACGGGGAGATTCTTTGATTAAACCGTGCCAATCACAAAACAGAATTAGTGGTTTTAGTACAGAATCTGTACTAAGTTCAATTTATTATTTACTGTCGAAGGCTCTGGAATCCAGGGAACAAAAAGGCATGCACCAAATACTTAAATTCAAATTGTTGTAACAACAAGATATACAATAATAACATCAAGTTTAAAAATGTCATCAATTCAACAAGTGTTCAACAATTTTAAAGAATATTTTTTAGCTTTTGCAAATGTTTATTGTAATGCCACCCTCAATTTTACAATTAGAAAAGATTGGGATCGATGGGAAGGTTTTTTTTCATCACTTGTCTGCTCAAGAATTGGTGGTTGTTGTTTCTGGATGTGGTTTGGGATGACATTTGTACCAAATCTGAATTTTCTGAGGTTGTTTGATTCTCAAATTGGCTTACGGGAAATTTCATCTTGTTTGGTTAGACAGCTTGAATCACCAGTGAGGACATAACCAAGTGTGCATCCCATTCGGAGTTTTTTATCTGAAGCCACTTTTTGGTAGATAGTCAAACTTGCGCTACTTCGATGGCCAGTTATGGACATTATTTGCTTGTCGTTGTAGTTGTTACGCTACATGTTGTTATCCCAAAATCTCTTAGGCTATGGTTGGTGTAACCTTTTTGTGCGAATCCACAACTTTTGGCTAATTTTGACATGAAGCTATCAAGAGAATTGTGCCCAACATTGCCGGGACCATACCAAACCTTTTGGCCATCAGTAGGAAATAAGTTGAACTTAGGAGTTTGCCAGAGTTTTTCAGAAGTAGGATGAAGGGCTTCTGTATACATAATGAAGCTTCGTACAGGGCAATATTTCTTATCAACCATGAAGGGCATGTAACCAGTGACAATATCATTTTCATTCGCTTTATGATTCTTTGTTACTTCATCTTTAGCTCTTATCACATACTTCATCGTTTGACTGAAAAGGTTGTTTTCGTCATTTTATGCATATTTTCTGCTCCACGACGGGAAAAATAGTACCTGATGTCAAACTGGACTTTCTTTTGTAGGTGTCTTGGTCCAATGTCTGGATCTAAGTATCGACTATGGTATATATCAAACAAGTCTGAAAACAACAAAATGTGGTATTAAATTAATTTAGTATGACGGACACTATGACGGGTTACAATAACTTATTTTTACCTGCTGTGTTAATAGCTTTATGGTTCTTCGTGAAACCTTTTCCTTTTTACTTCAGCTCTTTGGTTAATGCGTCTTCGTACGCTTTAATACTCGAGGTGAAAGCGGTACATTCTCTCTTTGTAATGTTAAATTTATGTCCCAAACTTTTCAGCGCTCTGTTTAGACTGTAGCGAATTGTTTGAAGACTTTCTACGTTATATTTGTGTCCATCTTTAGTCCTCGCAGCGAACCAGAATTTTGCAAGGTGCTTGTCGAGTTTTTCTTCGCTGAATTCGTAGAAGTTGTCTTCCTCTCCAATTTGAATTAAATATTCCCTGAATATGCCTTCTGCTTTTTTTTTCATTTTTTGTTGTATTGTTGTTTTTAAGGCTCTCTTGTCTTGTTCTCAAATCTTCGTCAGAAATTTGTTGAAATCGCGCCATATTAAAATGGCCGCCAGCAAAAACATCGATCTCGAACCCACGTCCTAAACATACGTCAGCAGGTGGGTTCGAGATTGAACGCACCTCTTCGTAGCCAAAAGGAAAGCCGCTAATACGCTATAGCTATGAGATAATGCTGCTTACTAACATTTCAATGTCTGTGCTACTTATTTTGCTCCTGGAATTTGAAAATAATTCTTATTAACCGCGTTGATAGAAGTTAGAATAACACAAAACTATTGGTAATGAAGAAAACTAATTATCAGTTCGACTGCGAATCAGTGGCGTAATGGAGGAACAGGGGGCGCTTAGGCATATTTGGTGTGGGCGCCCCTGTTGTCATTGTTTGACTGAGATATTATATTTATATTGAATATTTATAAAATGTTCTGGAAAATTCCATGTCTATAACAATAACAGTTTCCAACACATGTAACAACTAATAAGAATAACATTTGTTTTATTTGAGATGGAATTAAAAAATCAGCTACCGTTGTCGATGGAGGCTTTATTATTTAGCATTTATATTAATTTTTGCATTTCCCCATTGATTCTTAACCTGCATTTTTTACATTTTCTAATTTTCTGGCCGATAGGCCGTGGGTGATGGGGCCTCTAACTGTCGGGGACCTTCCTTTTATAACTAGCCCTACCCAATGAGCCCTACGCCACTGCTGCGAATGGGTCAACTATTATATTTACGCATGCTTGGGATAATTAGTTCTGTACTTCAAAGGTTTGCAGGTTTTTATCACCCTGTAGAGTTGAGGACATTGTTTCTGATGCTTCGACACATGCCAAACATAACAAAAGCATGATCAATTCTAAAAAATATTCAAGGAATGCACATACTTCAAATCCATGGCCATGCACGATCCTACTGACTTGCCCCTGGTTGCGTTGCATGCCTAAACAATGCACATGCATAAATTAAATTATCTGTGTATACAGTGCATTTAATTAACCCATGAAATAGCACGCAAAGCATCGTTCTTTTAAAACGCCATGCTATAAACATAGTTGGCTGCAGTTGCCGGACTGTTCATGCCATGTCTTCGTGTCAATTAACTTATTGTCAAATCATATTCAAACAAAATGTCTACAAACTAAACCCTGTTAAATTATAGCAAAGTGAAACTGATGGACAACAATTGCTTCGCTTTTAATGCTTGAAATGAACGCTTTCAGACGTGCAAATACAATGTTGATTTTACTGCTAAGTGCTAAATGAAATAAGAAAAGACAAACGAAAATAAGGCGAAAATAAGCACAAACGCATAAATTCGCTTTCTAAGCGTTATAAATTGTTTGTAATAAACAAATTCAGTATATACAGGGTGTATTAAAAAAAACGCGACCTCAGAATTTCCTAAGAAATTACTTTGCAATTCTTAAGCATAAAAGATTTTAGGCCCCTGGGAATTGAAATCGCATTGCTAATAGATCATATTACTGTTGTTGTGAATTAAATAAATGCATAAATTTTGCTTTATGCACTCGCGTGTGCAATAATTTTGACAGTTGTGCTATTTTAAATTCCCAGGCGCCTAAAATCTTTTGTCTTGTCGATTTCTTGGGAAATTCCGAGGTTGCGTTTTTTTTATACACCCTGTACAGGGTGTCTCAAAAAAACCCAAAATCATTGAAATAACGTATTGTTCGAATTTCAATGCCGTAACACAAAGGATTTTGACAGGGTGATTAATTTGTTCTAAAAAATTAAAATATCTTTGTAAAGTGAACGTTTGTTTGCTCATGGGAATTTAAAAATGCTTCGTAAATTGTGTAAGTGTAACCCCCCCCCCCCCCCCCCCTGTAACCCCCCCCCCCCCCCCCCACCCC